TCACTATCAGCATTGCACCCGTGCGAAGCATAGTGTACAAATAATACCATAACGTATGTATGTTTGAAGAAGTTTCACTTCAGTAGCGTGTTGTATAGGTACTTGATAAAGATATCTTATTTATTTCAAAGTAGCGAGTTATATTGGATAAAATTTTTTTAAAAATTTCAAGAATTTACTAATTTTCAGTCTTTTTGTTTGTTTTGTGGATTTTATATAAATCTTTTCGACTCATATTGTCGTTAATGCGCTTCGATCGGCATCTTAACGAAATCGAAATCATTTTTAGTTCACGCGATATTGATGATCACGTATGTACGCACGCTGCACACACGCATATATATTTTAGAACAATTGATCAATATCGCGCGAACAAAAAATGATATCGACTTCGCTGAAGTGCCTATCGAAGCAAAATGATCCGAAAAGAATTACGTAATATTCGGTCGAGTCGTTTTTTTGTTTGAACAAAAAGACTGAAAATTAGTAAATTCTGATTTTTTTAAAAAAAAAAAAATATCTAACCTATTTGGTTCTGATATAACTCGATACTTTGAAACAATAGGCATATTCCATAGTAGTTCTGAAAGTGAATAAAAAGCGGGTCCAAACATAATATGAAAATTTAAAATGATGCTGGCAGCGAAACTTTATAAGTCCATGTACCTAACTGATTTAAATAATGGGAGAATATATGATTTGGTCTGAATGAAGTGTTAAATCCAGACGTTTTGTCGCCATGTGCGATTAACATCTTCAGACTTAACAAATGCAAAAAGTCGCTGCTAGTTTTAAATTTTACGTTAGGTCAAGCTAATATTCAGGATGGGCCAACATATGGACCAAAATTTTCAATACATGAACTCGTCGTTTGTTACAGTTAGGGTTGCCACCCGTACTTTATTATAAAGTGTTGTACTCTATTTTAAACTGTAATTTAGATTTAGTGGATAAATAATAATTTCCATTCACATCGCTAGGACAATATTCACCCATTTCAACTTCCATATCGTTTGTACAAAGCTTTTCACTAAACTTAAGGCAATTTTTACACTTGGAAGCCAAAAAGCAATTGTCTTTGTAAATGCTTTCGGTGTAGTAGATATAGCTCCGGTGGTGACTACAAAAAACTAAAACGAAAAAACAAATGAACAATTCACATTTTGCAGTTATTTTGTTTTCTAATATTTTGATTACTTATATACAGTGCGGCTCAAGAAACCGGGTGTTTGTAACAAATGCATTAGTTGAAAACAAGCCGTGGGGTGGGTTTGGTGTCGCATAGCTGGTAAGACCCTTAAGGTCCACACGAATAACTTCCCAGTATGATTAAGAGTAATTTTCATGAAAATCAAAATTTTCAACACGTTTAATCAATATTTTATTAATATTACAAAAACCATAAGACTGTAGTGTTTTCGGTAGTTTTTGATATTGCACGAATATGGCGCGATGAATTAAAAGAAAACACTAACATAGAATTGGTCTCTAAGATTTTTATAAACACACCAACAGGAACAAGACAATAACAACAACAATAACGATAATAACAATAAACGGTAAACTTACGAAATAGCTGGGAGAAAAGAACTAGAAGAACTCGGAAGAACTAACTGATTTTTGAAATCGAAAATAAGGGTATTTATAGTTAATAATTGTTGAAGATAGACAAGGAGAAGGGTAGTTTAGAAGAAAGACAGAAGGTACAAGTACTGACGGTAAAAGTTCTCAGAAGTAAATAGAATGGAATGTTATTGCGGGAGAAACCAGATTGTTAGTAATTATAAGACAGGGTACATGCAGGTATAGGGGTTCCAGGTAATGAAGCATGCTCAAGAGTTTGAAATTAAAGTTGAAAGTAAAGATTTAGAAATAAAATAAATTTTAGAAAATAAAATTCAAATATTTAGAATATGTACAGATCGCTACACTATCTAACGCTGAGTCATTACATCTATCAGACATGTTGTACAGTGTAAGGAATTTCAAACATGCTTTCAGGTTTATATCATCATCACAAGTCGTCAGTNTATGTATGCTTAGATCTTTAAAACTACGCAACGGATTTTAATGCGATTTTTTTTAATAGATAGAGTAATTCAAGAGGAAGGTTTATATGTATGATACATGCATAATATAGTAGAGAAACACTGATAAGTTTAGAGGTTTCTAATGTGATGTCGTAAATAAACACATTTTTTTGCGCTTACATTGCAAACGCTGGCTGAACACTACGAGATAGGTCAAAATAATATACTACAGTATTGAACACCTTAAAAAGATCTACAAAAAAGTCCGGGATGGTATATGTCTATCTCTTAGGGATAACCAACAATTACCATTTTTTATCCTTTACTTTTTATGAGAAATTATGGCTTATTTACGAAGTGATTTTAAGCAATACAGCATTAATCCTTATCCAATTAAGTACTTTTAAATACATTGTGCATTTAATATAGATAAATATGGCCCTTTACTGCATGTAATTTAAATGAATATTTTCGAAGATATTACATACTCAAAATGCAGGGAGATAGCGGTTGCGGCGGTACCGGCCGGTTTGTATTGTCTAATGACAAAAAAGCTGTGGTTGTTGTATATAAAGACATTCTATAGTATATTTACTATCAGCATTGCACCCGTGCTAGGCATAGTGTACAAATAATACTAATAAACCAATTCCTTAACCCCTATCCCGGTATGTTTGTGTGTTTGAAGAAGTTTCACTTCAGTAGCGTGTTGTATAGGTACTGGATAAAGATATCTTATTTATTTCAAAGTAGCGAGTTATATTGGATAAAATTTTTTTAAAAATTTCAAGAATTTACTAATTTTCAGTCTTTTTGTTTGTTTTGTGGATTTTATATAAATCTTTTCGACTCATATTGTCGTTAATGCGCTTCGATCGGCATCTTAACGAAATCGAAATCATTTTTAGTTCACGCGATATTGATGATCACGTATGTACGCACGCTGCACACACGCATATATATTTTAGAACAATTGATCAATATCGCGCGAACAAAAAATGATATCGACTTCGCTGAAGTGCCGATCGAAGCAAAATGATCCGAAAAGAATTACGTAATATTCGGTCGAGTCGTTTTTTTGTTTGAACAAAAAGACTGAAAATTAGTAAATTCTGATTTTTTTAAAAAAAAAAAAATATCTAACCTATTTGGTTCTGATATAACTCGATACTTTGAAACAATAGGCATATTCCATAGTAGTTCTGAAAGTGAATAAAAAGCGGGTCCAAACATAATATGAAAATTTAAAATGATGCTGGCAGCGAAACTTTATAAGTCCATGTACCTAACTGATTTAAATAATGGGAGAATATATGATTTGGTCTGAATGAAGTGTTAAATCCAGACGTTTTGTCGCCATGTGCGATTAACATCTTCAGACTTAACAAATGCAAAAAGTCGCTGCTAGTTTTAAATTTTACGTTAGGTCAAGCTAATATTCAGGATGGGCCAACATATGGACCAAAATTTTCAATACATGAACTCGTCGTTTGTTACAGTTAGGGTTGCCACCCGTACTTTATTATAAAGTGTTGTACTCTATTTCGACTGTGCGTACGTTATACTTTACAAGACACATAAAGTACGCAAAAATACTTTATTTAAGGCCTTAAGTAAACCTTGTAATTTTGTAAGCGATTATTCGAAATTCAGAGTATTTTTACATCAATAATATTGCACAGAAAAATGGCAAGCCAAATTTACGGAACAACCTGATTTCCCAAATCTGTTCAAAGTAGTGTCACTTTTCCTATCCGTTCCGGCCACTTCAGCATTTACAGAAAGAGTATTCTCTGTTATGAACGCAAAGTGGCGGGACGACAGGGATAAAGCTTCATTAAAACTAATTAAAAATGAACTTTGAAAGCATCGTGCTACAGATGGCGTTCACTGTGCCGTTTGTAGTATTTTCTGAAACGCACTGTTAAGACAGCAGGTAAAAGTTGGTCTGTGTTCTGTCGGAGCTGTCTGCGACGCGCTGATGAGATCCAAAATGATCGAAATCGCGATCCGCGTCTGGCAGTTTCCACAGAATACAGACCACTTCGAATTATTTTATTCGAATTATTTTATTAATGAACTTTGAGTTTACTTAAATCTTTGTTTGCCGTGTTTAGAGGCTATTAATGTATTCAAGAGCAACAGCAGTTTGTTACTGGCTGCTAGGTGTAAGAAAAAATATGTTTTTAAAAACAAAAAATAAAGTACTTTATTTTTATGCTGAGTACTTTTTCTTTTGAACCTTTTAGTCGAGAAATACTTTATGTAAAGCCTGAAAAGGTGGCAACGCTAGTTACTCTCAACTCAAGAAAAAAATTCAAAACCGAAAAATGGAAGGGTGTATGATTTGGCGTGAATAACTACATTTACTTACCTATTTCGTTAAAGGCACTAATTTTTAAAGAAGCTAAAGCTGATTCCAATGCGTTCCGTGGACATCCTGCTTGACGTGTCCCACAATTCGGTTTAAAATCGACAGTTCCGTAGTCGGGGAAACACCCAAAAACGCCTCCGTTCGTGTGTATAGCGTCCACAAATTCCGCGTCATCAGAACTCAGTCTTTCGTCTACGTCCACCAAAAAAGGGAAGCAAAACAATGGTCCAGCAGCATCTAAACCTGTAATTCGTCTCAGTTTTTTCCCCCCTAAGAAACAGTCCGTCGTAAATCATTCGTTGCAATTTTCACAAGTTCATTAAACGTACTATGCAAAACCTGCACATTTTGTCCAATATATCCTGCAACTTGTCCTCCGAGAGAATGTCCAATGACATGTACTTTTTCTAGTTGTAATTGAGCGTGGCTTATAAAATTAGCTATTGCTTCAGCAACGGTGGGTACATAACATACAGCTTTTGGATATGACTGAATAGAATAAGTAGACCAGTCTACTACGATCACGTTGTAATCGTGGTTAGTGTTGAAATACGCTTGGACCATTTCTTTTAACCATGTTTGATTACCGGATTCGGCCCAACCGTGAACAATAAATTTAGTTTCTTTCGACGTGTCTAAATTTATTTTCGAACTCTCTCCTGAGTAGATGCTCGGCTTTTTAGGGTCTTTGGACGTGTAAACTTCGTAATGTATTAAAGAGGGTTCGGCTATGTAATAAGAACAATTGCCAGCAGGTTCCAGTTCTTCTTCGAGTATGTTAAAAATATCCTCTAGGAAGTTGCAATCGCCACAGTTTCTGGATAAAACTGAAACTTGCGGAAAAATCGAAAAGTGTCGTTAAAAAACTTTGTTTAGGTACCAAAACATATACTCACGAATTGTCGACACGTCTGCAAAGATTAAAAATAACATCGAGAATCTAATAGTCATAATATTATATATTTTTTTATCCTTATTCCCCGGTAAAATGTTTATTGTTCAAACGTCTGCTTGCAACTATCACCTATGTAGATAATATTGCGCTTACGTACTGCACCTATCTATGCGCAACAAAAATTTTGAAATAGATTTAAACTATTCCGTATAGGTATTCTTTTTATATTAGTTTTCGTAGAAATGTCTTGTTTGTAAATTGCATTAGGTATTTAAAAATAACTAATTAAAGAATAAATATGCGGACCTATTTGTAGAAGTGTGAATATGTTTATGCAATTGATACAATGTAATTACTGGTAGTTTTTACTATTGATGCTATTTCAAAAAGCAATTAAGCAAACTCAATTAGGTATTTTAAAACTAATAAGAAATTTAAGAAAAGTAGAAAAAGTTTGTTCTTCATTTCTATAAACACCTGTCGTAATCAATTTACCGTGTGAACTTAAAAAATGCAGGCAAATTTTTAATTCAATTACTGTCACGTATGACATTTTGAAAATAAATAATAGTTATTGTACTTACCAAGTATGCTTAGCAAAAACTTGAAGAGGGTCATAGTTTCGAAAATTTGTTCACAATTTCTTTTCTATGTACTCCTATGGAACATGATCGTCAGTAAAGATAAAATAAATCACGTTCGAGGATTTCAAAACTCAATATTCAGTATGTGAAAGCGATTTGACTAAATTTGCTTAAAAATTATTTTATATTACAATATGAAAACGTCTGGCTTATGATATTCTTTATATATGACGATAAAAAGGTGTTGCAACATAATTACTATTTATTTATGTTAATATAAATTTATATAACAGAAGATTAACATGCATTTAGGCCTAAAAAAGCGTCATGTATGGTTAATAAGGAATGCTTTTAAAAATTTTTATTCGGCATGAATGAAATTTTATGAGATAAAAATTTAAAAGGAGCGATCGAGTGAATATGTATTTACATTTCCCTATTTCACGTCGTATTATTCAAAAAATGATGCCTCTCTTTGAATAAATCACCTACGATATTATTCTCGAGGTATACAAAAATTAGTTTTATTTTATCTAGATGATCTTTGACACGTATTTAAAAAATGAGTGAAACCTCGAGTAAAACCTATCATGATATTTTGTACAAAAATTGTAAGGGTACAAAAAGGGCATAGGGTACCTTTTATCTAGAAAAAAAAATACTATTCTCGAGGTATATGTTTAGGACATCAATTTGAGTGAAACCTCGAGAAAAACCTATCGTGATATTTTATATACAAATTGTCAAAGATACAGAAAAGGACACAGGGTACCTTTTATCTAGAAAAAAAGATACTGTTTCCAAGGTATTGGAAAATTCGTTTTTTGTAGTCATGGATGAACTTTGACAGGTGTTTATGACATCAACTTGAGTGAAACCTCGGATAAAACCTATCATGATATTTCGTACACAAATTGTAAGGGTACAAAAAGGGCATAGGGTACCTTTTATCTAGAAAAAAAAATACTATTCTCGAGGTATATGTTTAGGACATCAATTTGAGTGAAACCTCGAGAAAAACCTATCGTGATATTTTATATACAAATTGTCAAAGATACAGAAAAGGACACAGGGTACCTTTTATCTAGAAAAAAAGATACTGTTTCCAAGGTATTGGAAAATTCGTTTTTTGTAGTCATGGATGAACTTCGACAGGTGTTTATGACATCAACTTGAGTGAAACCTCGGATAAAACCTATCATGATATTTCGTACACAAATTGTAAGGGTACAAAAAGGGCATAGGGTACCTTTTATCTAGAAAAAAAAATACTATTCTCGAGGTATATGTTTAGGACATCAATTTGAGTGAAACCTCNTAATAATAATAATTAAAAAGAATTTTATCTTCATCGTTATTTGTTTTTTTTTTGTTTATAACGCACAAATGATTTTTACAAATAATTAAATTGGTTTTTAATTAAATGAACATCAGTTACAATCTTATAAGAATATCTTAATTATCTTCAAACATAAACACTTCGGTTTAATCGTTTAAATTGTTGGTCGATAAGTAGTAATTTCCCGATGCATGTTTTGAACAATATTCTCCCATGTATTCCTCTGAACTATTGCTTGTGGTGTCATAAATGTGTTTTCGATAGTTGTCACAACTTGCACATTTATTAGCTAAAAATTTATTTTTGTCGTAGATACTTTGGACGTAGTAAGTGGTACTGCTGTAGTGATTACAGTAAGCTAAAAAGTAAATGATTAAGTGTTTTCAGCCATTCGGTATACAATAAATTGGAAATTTTCACACACTTATTTGTACGTCACAATTTCGTCAATAAGTGTCTTGTTTACTATAATGAAAAATGTAATATGAGTAATGAATCGTTAACATTACTTTTATTTGCAGTTAAATGAAATATATGCAGAGCTAATTTTTTTTTACAAAGAGACACATATGTAGATATATAACAAAATGATTTTATTAAAACGATTAAGACACTTGTGATATGGAAGCTAGAGATGTGCAAAATGATTTTTTAAAAGTATTTAAATACAAAATGCAAATAGTTTTTTGATTTGTTATTTCAAATGTAAAATACAAAATAGATTTCTCTTTTGTATTTTAAATGCTAAATGCAAAATACGTATTTTCAAAATACTTTTTTCAAATAAATACTTTTTTGTAGTACCCATTTAATTTTCTACATTTACTTAAGTAGGTATAAAATATTTTTTAAGAGAATCTTGCAGGTATTTGCTCATATTTTAAATACTGGAGTTTTTCTAGACTAATAGATGTGTTTGCACTATATCGCCAGCTGCGAAAATTGAGTATGATTCATATTTTTTTGTTAAAAGTGATTGAGATATAGTTATTCTATCTTTATGTTATATTTTTTTCAGTTCAGCAACAAATCATGCTATATGTTTCCTTATTTACCTTTGTCGTCCATTTTAATTGGAACAAAGACACTAATGCCAAAATAATTTGTTTAACGTGAAAAATCAGATACAAAATAGGGTTGCTAATAATTTTATTGATATAAAATCAACATCAATTATTTTGTTTCTGATCTTTTGCACATTGTAATAAGAGAAAAAAATGGAATCCATAGTTTCTTTAGCTTGGATTCATCTAATAAGCGAAGTTTTTCGATTTGTTTTCTAAGAATTTTGGATTATAGGCCTTTATTAGCACACCACAATATCTTGTAGTTTTCAATTTTACACAGCTGACGTATATCAATTCGATAATGTTTTGGGGGCTGTTTTGTCGTAATTCATAGAATTTCGTAGTTCCTCGCGAAATCAATTTAAAACTTCAAAATTCCATGGACCATGACAATGAACCCGGAAAACAATATCGATACAATATTTTAGATTATTCATTTCCAAGGAGTTTAGAATTTTTTGGGCTCTTCAATTAAAGAATTAGTGTCTCTTTGTCACTTTTTTAAGATTTTAATGGCCAATGTGACCAACTTTCATTCATTATTTTATATAATGTTTAAACGGTGACACTAGCAAAACTTTTAACGACAAAAAAAGTATTTTANTTAAAAAAGTATTTTAAATAAAATACAATACTATTTAAATGCAAGATAAAAATAGGTATTTTTAATTTTATATTTGCATTTTAAATCACATCTCTGATGGAGGCGCCAGTTTTCCAATGCCCTTTTCATAGAAGTGATATCAGGTATGAATTAACACAATTCTGAAGTGTTTTGATGACAACAAAGCGTTTAATTATTGAAAGTTATGAAAATCATTCGGTGCGAGGTCTGGCCTGTGCGGTGGATGATCGTGATTTTCATCCACGTTGACACAACGAATTTAGGGAAGGTATTTAGTTATATTATAGAAAATAATAAGTAAATACTACATTATTTTACTGAATGTAGATTGAAGAGTTTAGAGGGCGTTTATTTAATAATTTTAATAAGAAATTTTGTGATATTAAGTTGTCAGCCAGTTAATCCAAAAAAATGTCCCCCAGACACCGTAGAATTATTTTAATTTTTTATTTATAATCCATAAATTAAAATCCCAGACTATTTTGACGACTTTTAAAGTATTACCAAACTGCCTTGAATTCATTTATTTACTGTACTCAAAAAATATACTTTAGACACTTCATAATTTTTATATATGATTTATTAAGAAGCTCATATTTAAAATATGTGGAACATGTGAAACGAATACGACGACTTTAAATAATTACCAGACAGGAATTTTAGACTTTAAATGAGTGCGATAAAGAAGTCTTATATGTAGACATAGTAGGTACAAGAGAAAAATTTTATCGCCGCTTGCCGACACCACTGGCTTCCGTGATTCCAGTTCAGACTATAACTCGGTTTATTTACATTTGTTTTTTTTTTCTAAGATTCTGAAAATCTAAGCGAACGTGATCACTTCAAAAACTATATAGATTTTTTTTGCAAATTTTCCGATTTGGATCCACTGCATTGGGAACCGAGTGATGCCATTCTGGAAAGCTTTAACTCATTTTATCAACAAGTACTATATTTGGAGCTTTGCGTTTGAGAGGGATAGGGAAACCCCTGTGCATAGAAGGAGTTTTACGCCACAATCTAGCATACCCTACCCAGCCCTGACCTAAGCTTTCCAAAACTCAACCTCTAATTTAGTGAGTCCGAATCGGAAAATTGGCCTCTTTTTTTGCTGGTTTTTGATGTTGTCCAACCTAGTTTATAAACAAAAAAAAAAAATCTTACCCCAACTAATCAGAAGACAAGGGTAAGGCCTTTCTTTTTGTTTATGAATACGCCACAGTCTCCTTTATATTTATTTCAAACCTAGTTTATGCTTCAACTAACATTTTGAGTGTTATTTAGTTTATTGTACATAGTCCTCTTAGGGACCATGCATAAATTAGGTCACACGTTAAGGGGTAGGGAGGGGGTCGACGAAGTTAGACATTGTGTGACAAGGGGTTGGGGGGGGGTCCTAAATTACGGGACGTCACATTTCAAAATTTTCAAAATCTACGTGTTAAAACAGTATTCAATAATTTCTAGGTGTAAAAATTGCAAAATATGTGACGTCACACTAGGAAGGGGGGGCGAGTCTCACAAATGCGACCAGCTTTGACAAGGACGGGAGAGGAGTCAAAAAATCATGAAATTCGTGTGACGTAATTTATGGATGGCCCCTTATAGGTACAATAAATTATTGTAGTGATAATAATTTTTTAGAGACTATTGCTGATATTTTATAAACCTTAAATTCGCAGTGGAAATTGTAAAAAGAACAGTGATACATTGTTTATTTTTAATGAAAAAAAATAATCGGAAAATACAGAAAAATTCTAAAAATTCGCCAACAAAACGCTTGTTTGCTAAACTGATTTTACAGATAAAGTGCATGTTTAAACTAATTGAGCCTATGACCTTGTATCTGCCGGCATGCGACGATAAAAAAAAATGTTAAAGTGTTATTTAACTTACAGTCATTAATAAACTTGTCGATAAAGGAGCCGTTTCTCTTGTTTGTTTCTACCAAACAATCTGATTGTTGTGTTCCACAGTTTGGTCTAAAATCAGCCGTTCCGTAATTGTAAAGACATCCAAAAACACCTCCGTTTGAATGAATTGCATCCACAAACTCGGCATCGTCTGCGTTTATTCTTTTATCTTTGTCCACCAGATTTTTAAAACAGAACAAAGGTCCTGCAGCGTCTAAACCTGTAATTCGACCCAACTTGCGACCTAAAATTCTTTATTATAGACAATAAACCCTTCTAGGTTATTTATTTAATGGTATTTAAATTAAAAGTTATATCAATAAGGGTTTTTGGTATTGTGTTGTTGTTGTCTAACATTTTAAAGACAAAAACTTATTAGTCAACATTCAGCTTTAATTATTTTTCGTGTTTAAAATAAAAAGGTTTTTTACATTTTGCTGTGGTCTGGTATTATAAAGTATTTATTGTTTATAAAAAAATATCAACAGTCATTTTGATTTTATGTCAGGGAATTGAATATTAACTCGGTTTGTCTCGTCAATCTGTGTACCTTGAAGCATTTGTATATTTTTTCCAACGTGTCCTGCTATTTGCCCTCCAAGTGAAAATCCTATGACGTGTACTTTTTCTAGTGGTAGTTGAGCCAAAGTTATAAAATTGGCAACAATTTTCCCTATACTGGCTACATAAAATATCGATTTTGAGTATGTTATTTCAGCATAATAAGACCAGTCGACTACAATAACGTTATAGTCTTTGTTTGTTTGGAAATATGCCTTTACCATGTCTTTCACCCATGTTTTATTGCCTGATTCACTCCAACCATGGACAATGAATTTGGTTTCTTTTGAACGGTTTAAATTTACTTCAGTAGTATTTCCATAATAGTATGAAGGATTTTTGGAATCGGTGAGAGTATAAACGGCAAATGTTATCAAAGAAGAATTAGCTTGATTATTATTAATGTTGGAAAAGTTAGTAGATGGTGTAAATACAGTGTCAATTAAATACATCATTTCTTGTACGTCTTTGGATTTGCAATCATAACTCTCAGAATGATCTAAAAATTGATTTGTGAAATATTTAACTTTGGAACAGTCTTCCTTGCGTGAAAATTGTTGTTTTTCTTTCGTGAATGAAATATTAATATTAATTTGAAATCATTTTTTCGATTTTTTATTTACCCCACTACAAACCACCTCAAATTAATGAGGGAAAAATTGTTGCTGTTGTCACACCCCCGCCGGGAATCGAACCCGGGACCTTTGGCTTTACTCACCAATGTTCTGACCACTAAACTACGAGAGGTGACAACAACAACCACGACCAACCGACCTACAAGGTTAACGATCCGTCGAACTAATGTAACTATATACTGAATATACTATGATTAAACATACATATAATTTANAAAATCGACGGATCGTTAACCTTGTAGGTCGGTTGGTCGTGGTTGCTGTTGTCACCTCTCATAGTTTAGTGTTAGAACATTGGTGCGTAAAGCCAAAGGTCCCGGGTTCGATTCCCGGCGGGGGTGTGACAACAGCAACAATTTTTCCCTCATTAATTTGAGGTAGTTTGTAGTAGGTAAATAAAAAATCGAAAAAATGATTTCAAATTAATATTGCATATTAATCCACTATTAAGTAACTAACAATGTCATAGGATTTTTCATATATTTAATGATATTAAAGATTTAAAATTTACAGACTTTAGCAGTAAAAAAATATTACAAATGTACTTACAAAGTTTTGCGAGATACGCAACAATGAGATATAATTTCACAAAGACAAAATTCATTGTTGTTCTTCTTTTTGACGATACTCAGTGTTGATGTCTTGCAAATTTGGTTTTTATAAGCTCTCATTTTCATTGATCGATGGACAGAATTGTTCGAATAAGTAAAGTTGTTTGTTACATTGTAGTGCAAAGATAATTAATGGTGTCGATAGCAATAACGCAAAATAATTGAAATACCTTTGGACTAACTGTTCCGGTTTTTTCTTATTTTAAAGCAATTGTCAGTCTCTTTTGGCACGGCTTAGAATAACATCAATAATACTTCGTTATGTTTGAGCGTATCTTTTCGTTTGCGTTGTAGGTACAGGTAGGGGTGTGAAAAAAATTCTTTGAAACAGCTTGAGCGTTTTTATTAAATTATTAATATTTTCGTGTTAATATTGAAAAAATACAAAAAACGAAATATTGTTTTATTTGATACAAAAAAAATCAGACAGTTACAGAGTTATTATTTTTGTCCAGTGTCAAAATTAAAACTGGTAAATTTATTTGTCTGAGGATTGTTTCTTGTCGAGTACGGTGATTTATCTGAAGTTGATAGATAGAACTTTCCTATGGCATCCTCTGACAGTACGTCCCCCATAAACGTAATATAGCTTGTATCACAAAGGCCCATTTCGAATAAGGAACAATGATTACACCTTTGTGCTATAAACCCATTATTTATAATACTTTCAATCCACATCTGATGGCTTCTTCCATGACTGCACATAACTAAAAAAGCAATATTTTCGAATTGTTTATCTTGCCTTTATGTAATAATTTAATTAATCAATCAGATATTACTTCAATTGTAGCAATAATATGTAGGGCTTCTGCTAGGTTGCTTTAATTTTTTATTTCGGAAAAATTAAACTTAAGGCACCCAAACAGGGATGGTACCCAAAACAAAATAGTTTTATGTGGTTGCAGGTAAAACCTATCATGAAATTTTGTACACTCATTGTGGGGCTGCGAGGGGTAAAGAAAGGGACATGGGGTGCCTTTTATCCATAAAAACAATACTGTTTCCGAGGGATAGAAAAATTAGTTTTATGTAATCGTAGATGATCTTTGATATGTATTTAGGACATCAATGCGAGCGAAGCCGCGGGTAAAACCTATCATGAAATTTTGTACACACATTGTGGGGCTGTGAGGGGCACAGAAAGGGACATGGGGTGCCTTTTATCCAGAAAAACAATACTGTTTCCGAGGGATAGAAAAATTAGTTTTATATGGTAAAACCTATTATGAAATTTTGTACACATATCGTCAGTAGTACAGAAAAGGACATAGGGTATCTTTTATCCAGAAAAAATACTGTTCCCGAGGGATAGAAAAAAAATAATTTTATGTGGTCATTGGTGATTTTTGACGCGTATTTAGGACACCAACGCGAGCAAAGCAGCGTGTAAAACCTAGTTCATTAAAGAATAAGTTTTCAGGCATTGTGAAAATGTGAACAAATAATATTAAGGTTTTTTTTTTAACATTACAGTCTGCTCGATCAATGACGGCCGTTAATAGCGTAACGCAGATATTAAAGCAAAAACATACATTTAAAAAAAAAATGATTTCAAAACGTATTTTGAAATTTTATAATACGAATAAAAAACGAAAATGTAGGAAATTTTTTAAATAGCAGACTTACTAGAATCGAAGAACCTATTAAACGTGTTAGCTATATCTATCAGTCTTATGCTAAATTCTGAACAACCCGGTTGTTTTGTGCCACAGTTTGGAAAAAAGTCAGCATGCCCGATTGTTTGTCTGCAGCCAAATTCACCCCCATTTGTGTGTATGATATCCACATAAAGGGCGTCATCTTCGGATAATCTTTTATCGGCTTTTTGAAGGTGAGGTTGACAGAACATTGGACCTGCTGGATCCAATCCTGTAATTCTTCCAATTTTTTGTCCACCTTAAATTACGATATTAAAAAGAAAATATTCTAAATCCATCTGTTCTAGTTCCAAAAAGGTTGGGTCATGTATTGTAGTATAATAATACAGTGTAAACTCTATATAACGACACTTAAGGGACTGAACATTTTTCGGCGTTATAAAGAGTGGTCGTTAAATGGAGAGAAATAAAAGATATTATTTTACTATTCTATAACAATATGCATTCACCAATATAGTACACATTATTATTCATACATTGCGTATAGCCTGTCATCTTCGTCTGATGTTTTTTTGCTGCTCCAGTATTTTAATTGTAGTTTCTTATGTATCTTACTCATATCTTAAGATACTGCTGGATCAATTTGATTATATAAAAAGTATTTTCTTAATAGTTTCGCTGCATCAAGTGCATGTTTGATGCTTGTTGGAGGGACAAGATCGTGTTCTTCAACAACGTACACAGCTGCAGTTCTTATCTATTTCGGCAACTTAGAAAGTACTGCTTAATGATTTATAATGCCGCATTGTTGTCGTTAAATAGAGTGAGCGTGACGCTATATAGAGTGTAATATTGTATAGAAAACAATGTAAACCAACCAAAGTCAAGCAATTTCGACGTTTTAAGGAGTTTGTCGTTAAATCGAGTGACGTTATAAAGA